ATGTATGCATTTCTTTAATTCTCGCCATTTTCATGTCCTTTTTTTTTTTTTTTTTCCCTTTGGATCTGGGCAAATCATATATAAGCATTTAATCCAGTATGCCAGCTGTCCCATTGTGTTTCTACTTTACCTGTTTGATTTCTGCTTTTATGTTGTCTTCTCAGTAAGCAATATATGTTGAATGTTTCAGATTTTGAAAAAATAGAAAAGGAACAACCCTTGCAACTCCCTCCAAAGCCACCTTAGAGAAGAAATTGGAGAGGCAGTGTGGCGGCGCTTTTGGGTGGCAATAATATGATGGTAGTTTATAGTTGTCCAGCTAAGTCTTCAAGCAAGTACTTTGTGCATGTACTGCATAATGAACATCCCGTTCCAATGCCAGTAAGCTTTTGTGGACTAAATTCTTATTCCTCATATTGATATATATTTATTAATTTTTAGTTATTTTTCGATTGATGTTACTGAAGTAGTTGTCTATCATGATTAGCAATTATTATTATTATTATTATTTTTATTTTTTGGAGGGGTTTTCATTTTGCTTTCAGTTGTCTGAGGAGCACCAGTGTTCCTCAAACAACTGAAAGTGAAAGTTTGGAATTTGTAAAGGTTTTAGTGCCTATGGGCCTGATCCAAGCAAATTTTTGGTCAATTTGGGTCTCATTTTATGTCCTTTACAAGTTATTTGATGCTAGTTTGGTTTTACTTATGTGTTATCCGGCTTTAGGGTATGTATTAACAAATTTTAAATTTTTTTTTATAATACGTCTTGTGTTATTAAACTTATTTTTAATTTTTGAGTCTTTTCAGATGTTTAATTCAATGCTTTATGTTATCATCTTGTCAATGTTATAGGTTTTGTTGGTGAGCTGCATCCTGACAAGAACAGTGATAACAAGAAGCATGTGCTTTACACACATAAAAACATTATTGTAAAATACAAGGATCAGGTCCTTTGCTTATGAATCATTTGATTTTTTGGTTGAGAATTGTAAATTCAATTTTTAGATATGTTATTTTGTGGGTAATGATGATTGGATATTAAATTGAATGGAAAAGTGAATTAATGTTACATTTACTATTTGAATGGAAGTTATTATTTTATATTAGTGCTATTTAATTTTATTAAAGGTATTTTTTTAGTTCAATCACATAAAATTAGAACAATTTTTATAATAAAAAAAATTTAAAAAAAAGAGGATACCACGGCGTTTTGAGAAATGCCACCTAAACTCTAAAGCTAACGGTTAGTTTTTTAAAAAAGATATGACGGCGTTTTGAAAACGTTACTAAATCACAGTGACGTTAGGGTAGGACATTTGGCGGCGTTTTTAAAACGCTGCCTATACTAAATATAGCGACGCTTTTAAAGCGTCATAAAGTTATGGCGACGGCCGCATCTTCGACGTTTGGTACTAAACGCCACAAAAAAATTAGCGGCGTTTTTGATAGATATAGCGGCGTTTTTTAAACGCCACTAAAAACCTATTTTCTAGTAGTGTCTCTTTCCGAGTCTTTGTTGATAAACGTTGAGCGTTTGCTGTATTCGGTCAATTTTTATTCATGTGGGGGATTGTTGGAGAAAATGGTTGAATAAGAAATAGCCTCATAAATGTGTATATAACTCACACATTTAAGGCTCATCAGTTTTACAAAATTGATTGGACAGTTTTGCTAGCATTAGTTGCCAGCCTTGATGACTAGAGGCTCCTCCCCTCTCCCCCATGGTGTATAAAAGGAGGCCCTACACTGTCAGTCTACTTCTCCTAGAATTTTCTTCCTGAGAGAGAGTGCTGCCGTTGTCCGTTCGCTAAGCTAATCAGAAAGTGCTTCTGTTGTAGCTGGTAAAAATCGTCGTATCCTAGGAAGTAGACGCCGGCGTACCTCCAGCACCCAACGGTGAGGCGGCGAATCTATTTTAAGGAAATTGTGGTATCACACAGGCTTCGGTTTGCTTCCTTTAACCATTTTATATTTTATCTGTATTTTATTCAGCATGTTATTTTTCCTGAGATTGAAGGTTTGTTTTGTTCATCTCATAATTTTGCGATATGCAATGTGAAATTATGTAATGTGAGTAGTTTTTCCCAACATTTTGTACTCACAATATTTTTTTGAAGATCAAAAAATTATTTGAAGAACTAATAGAGTCACAAAAACAAAACTCTAATCTTTTTTTCATTTTCTTTTTTTCTTTTCTCTCCTCTCTTTTTCCTTTCTTCCGCCATGTCTCTTCCTCACCTCTCTTTCGGCTGCTGTGCTGCTCCTCACTCCCCCTCTCTTTCGTTTTGGTTTTAGTAAGCGTCCAAGGCTTATAACCTAATTGAGCCTCATATATAACACGCTTTTGTTTATTTTTTTTTATATATTATATTATATTATACAAATACAATATAAATATAATATATATAAATTTATTATATATGATCAATACATATATATATATAACATCTTTTATATATATATATATAGATAATATAAATATTTAAATTAATTATATATAATTAAATAACACATTAAATTAATTAAATACCACATTAAATTCTATGTAACTACGTAATTAATAAAGACAAAAATAAAATAAAGTAATAATACTAAATAATGACTTACGAAAAATTAAGGTCGCTACATATATGTTGCTAAAAATTGACAACTAGTGAGTTTTTTGTCATGATTTTCATAAATTGTCACTAAAACTTACAATTATTGACCTTTTTTATGACAAAATTTTCTTATAGGACTTATTAGTTAATAAGTCCACTTATTAAAACCTACATGTAAATATCCCTTTTTTTTTTTAGTATTACATTAGAGTGTTATGTTTAGGAAAAGTACAATAAAAAGGTTTTTTTTTTCTCTTGTTGAAGTTGATTTTTTTTATAACATTGGAGCCTTACGTTTGAAAAAAGTACACTAAAGAATTTTTTTGTGTGTTACATTAATGTGTTATACTAAGAAATTTTTTTAGAGTGTTATATTGAAGTGCTATGTTTAGAAAAAGTACATTAAAGAGTTTTTCTGTGTGTTGCATTAGAATGTTACATAAGGAGTTTTTGTGTGTTACATTAGAGTGTTACACTAAGGAGTTTTTTTAGAGTATTAAATTAGAATGTTACACAAATGAATTTTTTTGTATTACATTAAAATGTTACACTAAAGAGTTTTCTTAGAGTATTATATTACAATGTTACATTTGGAAAAAGTGCATCAAGAAGTTTTTTTTGTATGTTACATTAGAGTATTACACTAAAATTTTTTTGTGTGTTACATTAGAGTGTTACATTAAAGAGTTTTTTTGTATATTATATTAGAGTGTTACACTTGAGAAAAAAATACTAAGAAGTTTTTCATCACCATTGGAAATGATTTGCAGCTTGATTTTGAAGCTTGACAATCACTTCTTGCAGCCACTTCTCTCCTCAGGCATGTCTTGCAGCATCCCCAACCCAAATCAAGAATAGCCAAGAGATTGTCTTGCATGGCAGTTGTTCATCTTCTTTCTCCTTCAACTGTTGTGAACAAGTTTCGAACCACAACTTCCATTATGTTGTTTGGAAGTGATGAACTCACCCATTGCCTTAGACTCAACTCTCCAACAAACATTTCATCAGTGGGCTTCTTTCTTATGAAAGTTTCCAATAACACTATTCCATAACTACATGTATCACCTCCAGCTGCTACTCTTCCTTCAGAACCATACTCTTTCCAACAATAATTGGTTTCAAGAAAAATTAGAAGATCCAACACTTAGGTTCATAATTTTAAAAAGGGTTAATTACACCAATACCTTCTCAACTATGAGTGAATATTAGTTTTCTCTCCTCATTTATGAACTTGTACATCTTAATCCTTCAACTATAAAAATGTATCACTTTCACTTCTTTTTTTTTTTATCGGCAAATGTTAGTTGTTAATTATTAGATTAGTACGTACGGAAGAAAATCTCTCCATCCTTAGCAAAGCACCTAAGTGTTTGCACTCCCTTAATTCAACCCCTATAAGAGAAATTAAACCCATAACCTTCTTGGAAAGTCGTAAGAAATGTATGGTGGCCAACTAGGGTAGGCCTAGTTGATTCACTTTCACTCTCTCTACACTACTTCCAAAAAGGATATATTTATATGATTTTTAAAGTTGAGTGGATCATACAAATTCATAAACTAGAAATTAAAGTGATATATTCACCCAAGAGGAGATTTGGTGTGATTAACCCTTCTGAAAACACCACCCACACAGCATTTTTTATATGAAAAAATTGTTTGTTTACCATATCCTTACAAAATATTCCACCAGCATTATGTTTCATTTGCATTTTTATCTTCTTGGTTTTATTTATTTATTTTTTTGTTGAAATGATAAGGCCACGACTAGGACGCATAGATACGGATACGAGATATAGATACGACACGATACGGATACAGTGATACAATAAAACCTAAAAAAATAGGATATTGGTACGGCTAGGATACGTTTGTGAAAAATATATTTTTTAAAATTATTAATAGTAAGTTACACATAAGTTAAAGAACGTTGAGAAATCACAATATAATTTTATAATGCAAAATACTAAACTTTAAAAATTTTGTATTAATTTAAGCTAGTAGATTGTTTACTTTTTAAATTTTTAATAGGTTTTGCAAATATTTCATTTCAATATCAAGTTTAATATATTTATATTACAAAAATAGAACAATTCACAACTTGTCCCTATACTTTTTTTTTTGACACTAGTGAAAAATATTGTATTCAAGCTTACTTGCTTATTTATTTATTAATATTTAATTTTACCATTGTTATATTCTCTTGTTAATTCTTACTTTTTATGCAGTTATGGGGGACATGGATGAAATAATTAGGATAGATCAATTTGATAAATTCTATTATTTAACTCACTATACTCTTCTTATCGAAGAACTTAACAAAGTATTAGAAAAATATTCTTATATTTATACTTACAATTATATAATATTATATTACTATGCAAAAAATGTTATAATTCTAATTTCATAAAACAAGTGAACATGACTAGGAGTATCCGATACTTCAAGATTAAGTATCGGATACTCCAAAATTAATGAAAAAACAATTAAGAAGTATCTGATACTTTTAATAAGTATCCGATACATATCTGCGAGTATTTAAAAAGTATCGATATCCGATACGGATACGATACAGATACGTCACCCTATTTGAAGTATCCGTACTTCATAGGGCCACGATATGCAACCATATCACTTTGTATAAATTTTCTTTATGTTTTTCTATAGCAAAAAGCTAGGAACCTAGACTTATAGTTCCAAAATTTTCCTAGAATCACTTTGTGTGGTAGAGATTTAAAATTTTAAAAAGAGTCCGCAATCGTTATGTAACACTATTACAGAATGGTTGTGGTAGTTATCACCACCCATTATGGCCGCTATAGGTGTGACAAAAATTCACAACCGTAATGACTGCTATCATTACGTAAAGGCCGTAATGGCATTTACATTACCGTTACAGCACTGTTATGGCCGTTACGATCATTACGCTTTTATTTTTTTACTTTTATATATTTTTATAAACTCTGTATATAATGCTATTTTCGTATTTGGTGTCTTGTTTCAGTTAGCTTAAAAACTAAAACGTTTCAAAAACATAAGGGAAATGAAAAAAACAATTTAAAAACATATGAAAATGTTTGGAAAGAAAAACTAAAGCCTAAATAAATGTTTATACATTCTCAATAATTAAATCATTGAACATATTATTTTTTATAAATTTTATATATAATGCTATTTTCTCTTTTGAATGTCCATACATATTTTAAGTAAAAATCTTATCTATACATGTTTTGAATGCCCAATCTTCAAGATTTCATTACTTTTTCATCTTATCTATTAACATCTATTTCTCTTATGTTAAATTTATTGAACAAAATTTAGGTTGCTTTTGGTAGAGTTTTCTAAATATGATTTGAGAATAGAGTTGTATTTTGAGTTTGTGAGTTTTGGAATTATGATTTGAGTGTGGAAAATATGTTTGGTTAAAGAGTTTTGAAAAGAGTTTTAAATTGAGTGGGAAATTTTTTGATGTAACATGTGATATTTGATACAAAAACTTACAACTCATAACCAAACACACAACTCAAAATCTCATAAAGTTTTTTTTAAAAATTCCAAAATTTTTTTATTTAAAATATAAAAAATAATAGGTGCCAATTGTTATAAAAAAAAAAAAAATGCACTGTTCCGGGTCAACTGATTGGATGTCTGGGAGGACGACCGGCCAGACGTTCAGGGAAACGACCGATTAACTAAAATTTTCTCACCTTAGGCAAACTTTTCAAAAGTGAGTATGGAATTAATTTTTGAAAACTCTAAACAAACAATACACTCAAAACATAAGGTAGAAATATGTTTGGAGAATACAACCAAACACAACCTTAGATTTCATCTTATGTACTTTTACATTACTATGTTGACATTTTGTATTTTAAACTTATGTTTATAAGACTATTATTTTTAATATTAAACATAGTTTATTAGCAAATTGGAAGTTATCCACAAGTAAAGCAAAGAAAACTAAATAAATCAAATAATAGGAAAATTCTCCATAGTGACTTAAAGCTAATATAAAAATTAGTATATGCATATATTGGATCATGTTTTAAAACTAAACAAAAATACTAAAATTCATTTTGAACTTCACTAAATGTGATTCTAGAATAAAAACATGCCTATTGGTATATTTTCTTAAAGTTGTGTAAAGAATTAAAAAATTAACTATTCCGGTTGCCGCCACCGTTGCGTTGCGGCTGTTACACTCCGCAAACACGTCAACGCTACTGTTACCGTTACGGTTGCCATCACCGTTATTTAAAGCCTTGTGGAGATCAAATTGATGAAGTGTGGAGTTAATGAATAGAATAAATATGAACCATCTCTGTTTTATATATTTATATAGTATTACACTTTTGAGGATAGAGTTTTCTTTTTCGAAAAGTTGAAAGTAGATCAAGAAACAAGATATACCTGGTGCAATATAGCCAAATGTACCCAAGGTATTGGTTTGTGTTGCAGTGTTATTTTCAGCTAAGATCTTTGCAATTCCAAAGTCACCTACATGTGCAACCGTGTCTTCATCTAACAAAACATTACTAGGCTTGAGGTCACAGTGGATCACTGGTACTGGCTGACCATGATGAAGATATTCCGATGCCAATGCAACATCAAGGATGATACTAACTCTTTGAAGGAGATCCAAACAATAGTTGTGAGAATATAACCACTTCTCAAAACTTCCATTAGACAAGTACTGTAAAACCAAAGCTCTTAACTCAGGGTTAGTGCAAGCACTTATGACTATAACTAGATTCCTATGTCAAACTGTGCCTAAAACTTTGCACTCCGCGTCAAAACTCTTGATTGCTCCCTCAACTTGTAAATATAGAAGTTTCACTGCAACAATTTTTCCATCAGAATACCGAGCCAAAACCTCCAACCCCAAGAAGATTGGCTTCACAAAAGCTATTCGTGGCACGGGAAAGCTCTTGATATGAAAACATTTAATGCTCCAAATGATGCAATAACTTATCTGAATTCTGACTCTCTGCTTTATTTCCATGTCGTTTTTTTAGCATATACAATATGGCACCAAAGATCACAACTACTGCCATGGTTATTGGGAGAATATAGATGAAGGGAAAAAGTTTGTCTTGATTTTTTGGTACCATGACTTGTGCATGGTTTCGAAACATGAACTCCACAAAGTTCCCCATTATCCAAAAAAGATTGTGAAGTGAATTTTGAGAAAGGCCCTCCACTTGGAATCTCCCCCGAGAGCTTATTGTGAGACAAATTCAAGTATGCGAAATACGAAAGTGCCTCTAGAGACTTGGGTATTGACCCAGAAAGGTTGTTGTTGGAGAGGTCCAAGAAATCCAATGTTATCAAGTTACCAAATGATTCAGGTATTGGCCCCCAAAATGAGTTATGTGACAAGTTCAGAGAACGTAGGCTTTGAAAGGATCCCATAGTGCTTGGACTGTTACCAGACATATTATTACAAGAAAAATCAATAATTTCTAGAGATCTCAATGCTATACTATTTGGACCTAGGCTTAATGAATTGTATGATAAGTTCATGAAGAAAAGATTATTAAGGCTCCATAAACTCAGTGGTATTGTTGAGTTTAGTGCATTAAAATCAAGTACCAACGCCTCCAAATGACTGAGATATCCAATGCAGCCTGGAATTCGTCCAAAAAGGTTATTATACTGAAGAACAAGTTCTCCCAAGTTGGTCAAATGGCAGACCTCTTCTGGAATGGGTCCTTCAAGTTCATTAGCAGCAAGATGCAATCTTTGCAGCCTTTTCATTCCCTTGATTGTAGATGGAATGGTTCCACTCAAATTATTGTCAAACAAAATAAGAGAAATCAAGTTTCCTAAGGAACCAATGTGCTCTGGAATCTGACCATTTATTTGGCAACTGAATGCATAAAACTGTTGAAGGGAACTTGAAAAATACTCAATAGAATCTGGCAAGACGCCATTAAGTGGATTCTCATTTATGGTTACCTGTTCCAACGACCTCGACCTTGTCAAAGCAGTCAAAAAACTAATTTCTCCACTGTTTGGTTCTACTGTTAGCTGATTTCCCCCCAAAAGAAGAATTTTGAGATTCAAGTCGCCTAGACTTGTAGGTACTGTTCCAGTAAACTGGTTGTAAATTAGACTCAAGAAAGTGAGCATAGATGAGATGAACAGAAACAAAGGGATGTTTCCAGTAAATTGATTTATCCCAAGGTCAAATACACAAAGATTAGGAAGCCAAAGCCTGGTATCAAATGGAAGATGACCCCATAGGTTATTTGATATAACAACAAATTTCTCAAGAGAGGAGAGGTTGAATAACGCTGGCGGTATCAAACCGGTGAGATAGTTATAACCAAAGTTAATATGTTTCAAATTGGGAATTTGAGCCAACTCATTAGGAATGTTGCCATGAAATTTGTTATTTTCCAAACTAAAAGATTCCAAGTTTGACAAGTTACTGAAAGTGGAATTGTACCTGTCAAGTTGTTACCTCCAAGGTAAAGGACATTGAGGGAGGTTAAGCTACTTAACTCTTTTGGTATCTCCAACAAGCTTGTTATACGCTAAAGAAATGACTTCAATGGCAATGGTATAAACTTGGAGGGATCTCTCCTTCTAAATTGTTTTCTTGCAATACAAGTACTTTCGATCGGCAAATAACTGAGCTCTTGAATGACTTGGCCATAGAAACTGTTGTTGCCGAGATAGATTTCATAGAGAAAGGAGAGGTTACCAAGATGAGGGGAAAGCGTGCCTACAAAGTCATTGCCACTGAAGTAAAGACCTATGACTCTTTGCCTTTGTCAGCTGCACAAGACTCTGTCCCAATCGCAGAAGTTGGAGTTTTCAGTCCAATAGTTATTCAGCATAATGCTGGGATCTATCTTGATTGCAGACTTGAAGGCAAGGAGAGACGATAGATCGGTGTCGTTGGAGAATGAAAAGGCCATTGAAATTGTCCATAATTGCACCAGCAGAAGCAGTAGTAGTACTAGGGAGGCCATGTAAAACTTCTCCATCAACATGAGAGAGAGAAAGAGAGAGAGGGAGAGAGAACAGATTTGAGTATATTGAAAGGCATTACATATTATATAGCTAACTACTTGGCCAAAAAAGGAAAAAGAAAAGAGATATGACAACTCACTAGCAAAACATATTACAATTTGGGAAATTAATTTCAAGGGATTAGAAGGATTTAAAATGAAATTTCTCATTCAGAGAGAGTTTACTTAATTAGCCCACCTTATCTTTAGGTGGAATTTGACCAGATAATTAATACTTCCACATGAATACAATGCAAGCATGCTGCAGCAACTTTCTGGACACTTGAAGAGTCACCCAATGTTCCAATCATTGAATAATCATTTTCGTTATAATATGCTGTGATCAAAGTTAGAATGCAACGCCCTCAAATTAAAGAAACTTTACTCATCGGATGAGATCCATATTCATTATCTATTTTCAATTATCAATAGATTCATACATGCGGTGGCGATATGATAACTCAACCTTCATTCAAAGACATCAATAAGATAAACTCCATTTCCTTGTATTTCCATCCAATAATTCCAAATTAAGGTTACATGCATTGAACCATTTTGTAAATGATACCTATACAAATAAATTCACTATTTTGCTATAATATATGTAGCATTAACTCCTGAAGAAGACCAGATCAGCAGGACTTGGTATTATATTCGGAATTGGCAAAAACATGGAGAAGCAAAAGACTGACAGAGCCGCGTAAACTTACGCAAAAAGGAAAGAGCTGTCGCCTTAGGCTTAATTATATTAAACTAGTTATTATTATTATAACTAAGTCAACTGTCAACACCAAGATTTGAATAACAGATTTTAATGAACCTCTCTAATCTACCCTACTGGCTTATTAATTCGAATTGGTAAAAATGTCAGCATATTTGGTTCCTGGCTGTTGATTTAAGATCTAGGTTGAGCACAAAAATCGAAAAAACCCCATCTAGACCAAATCATATGACTTTATTTGCTTTTCTTGATGCATAATTTGGTCTTAATTTTTAAAATGAGCAGATCGTATTTTACAACAATATATGATTTTATAGTTGTGATTCCGATTTGAGATCGGACAAATATGTATATATATATATCTGTGCAACGTTTGTTTGAGTAGGGTGGACCTACAGGTGCAATTAATTGTAAACCATCATCAAAACAACTATTGTTTAAAAATTGACGACCTATTGCTTAATGTCTGAATAGGTTGTGAGTAATATTACGTGAGGATGTTATGAACGATGATATATTTTTAGAAACTGTGGTTTCAAATCGAACCGCAGCAAACCACATTTTAATTGTTCAGTCTGATTTGGTTTAAGATTTTTATAGTTTTGATTAGTTCCAAATTTTGGTGAACCATAATTAATGATATAATTCTTGATTTCTTCCTAAATCGAACCAAATCCAACTATACTCACACCCACTAAACTCAGAAGTCATCAAGGATAATTGACGCTCTGTCCAGTAGTGCTAGTATATATATGTTTTCATTTTGAATTAATGAATGCTCAATCAAGTGGTTACCTGACTCAAGATCATAGAAGCATTGCTAAGATCAAAGTAAGTAGCTCATGTTTTAAGGGAGATTCGTATCCATAAACAACATATATAGATTTGTATCATACTAGCTTATGTTGCCGGATTTTTCTGAATACTTTGAGAGTTATCCATGTTCCAATCTGTGAATAAGTAAATTTTCATCATTCATTTCTCTGTTTTTGCAAATAAACCAGCACACCATAGCTACGAACTTAGGAAGGACACTCAATTTTCATCCAAGTCCACTCTTAATTATGAATCATGGTTACATATATAGATACGGATATGTTAGTATGACTACATTGATACAGCAAAACCTTTAAAAAGAAAAAAAAGAACGGAATAGAAAAAAGGAATTGAGTATGACTGACGTATTCTTTCAAATTAGTATGATATGAGTATGACTGAGGTATTCTTTCAAACCTTCAAAACCTTTAAGTCTATCATTATTCTTTCAAATTTTTAAGTTACATCCACTCATCAAACAAAAATCACATTCATGTGACTAAAGTAAAATGCAATAATTTCTAAATGTAAACACATGGAATACTTTAACAAAAAGGATATCACCATAAACTTCAACACAATTCTCAACTTAAAAAACAACGTAAAAACAAAATAAATCTGAATCACTTCATGCACAGGGCAAAAGATAACTATGAACATCATTAAGAATGGAAATTAATAACTTCCATACTAGAAGTAAACAGAATCATCCAACAGTTCCCAACTTCCTGTATATACCAAAATAAAGAGTACTGATAATGGACAAAGTGTTTAGGACACAAAGAACAACCATAAAAACCAATTCCTAACACTACTTGGAACTCACAAAATGGTCCCAAAATCAATACTCCAGAGGTCCTACCACCACCACCAGACTGCCTTGGACAAATCATCTCTAAACCTCTATCCGGGAGGTAAACCCATATCATCCCTCCATGCATCTATCTCCACTTGAAACTCAGCTACAAACTCATCATGACCATTACGAAGAGCAGCAAATCCAACTTGTATGCTTGTCAAGAGCTCAGGCACAGTTGGCTGCATATCCACTAGGGTATCATCTATCCTTGGCACATATTTAAGGTTAAACCTCTGTCGGGGAGATAATCCCTTATCATGCCTCAATGCATATCTCACCTCGAAACTCAGCCCAAAACTCAACCAGATCATTATGAAGAACAAGAAGCCCAGCCTGTATGCTTGTCATGAGCTCTTGGATAGTCGACTGTGGTGCAACATCCAAACCTCCTCTAACCTCCTGCTTCACATCATCTCTCCTAGGCACATATGCCAGGCTACACCTCTGTCCAGGATGTAATCCCATATCATGCCTCAATGCATCTACAAGACCTGGAAACTTTGCCCAAAACTTAACCATATCATTATGAAGAGCAGAAATCCCATCCTTTATGTCTGTCATGAGCTCCTCGATAGGAGATTCAAGATCCACACTTTAACCTCCTGGTGCACATTTGTGGAGGTATCGTCTCTCCTAGACACGTATGCTAGGCTAAACCTCTCCGTCTGCTTATTAATTGTTTGATTCATCGCCTGCTTTTCTTCATCTGGGCCAATGGGTACACCCATAGACCTAGCCCAACGAGTGATAAATGATCCAAATGGCAACCCCTCAGTACCATTTGGACACCATGCAACCCTAAAAATGGCATCCCACATACAATAGGCAAGATCAATCTTTACTCCACTAAAAAGGGCATATAAAATCAATGTTGTATCTGCACTCGGATTTGAAGTGTAACTTGAGGGAATAATAATTGACGACGCCACAATCTTATCCAACATTCTAGCCTTAAGTGTCATCTCCTGATGTGAGACCTTATGTCCACCATTGTATTCGCTACAACACAACTCCTGAATCACAGTCGTCGCAGAAGGCAAGTCATCCTCAGCATAAGGGAATCCAGAATTAGGCACCCTAGGGAGATGGTAAAAAGTAGCAATAGTATCGGGTGTAAACTCAAACCTTAACCCCCTAAGGTATCCTTTGGCAGAGACCTTTTCGTGATTCAAATCATACAAATTTGAATAAAATTCGTGGACCAACTCTTTCGTAGCAAATTCATGCTCTTGGCAAATTTCCAACCAACCCCTTTCCTCAAACATTTGTTTCAAACCCAAGTGCACAAAATCATCCATTACCACATTACCCTCACATTTTACTGTTCTATTCCTATAAACCATCCTATACTTTTCAGCCACCTTTGGTTCCTTAAACCTGTCATACCCTCTATTACCCATTGAAAAGCTTGGGTTACTACACCTATCCATTTCAACAAATTGAAAGCTTTTCTACTAAACCCACCAACACTGGCTTCACTTTTTTCTGCAACTACCACCAACCAAATCGCTATCAAACCCCCAACACAATGCAATTCAGTGTTTGTTCGATAAGACACAAAACAGGGCAGGTTCATTAGCCAATGGGACAAATTGTATACTGAGGAATTTCTTCAAACAGCTAGCATGCAAGGAAAAATGACAAAGTAATCTTACCCTATTTGTTCAAGCCTTAGACCCAGAAAGTAGTGATGACCAAAAGCACCAAATCCAATCAACACTAACTCACAAATATTGATGAAAGATTATTCAAATCCATACGATGTAATTGGGTTTCCAAGAACAAGTTGTAACCCATCACAAAGTGGAAAGAAAGGATATCACCATAAACTTCAACACAATTCTCAAGATTTGCAGGTTGGGAAATTATTCAATACTCCCCGGAGCACCACGTGTTCATACTCCAAATCAATCACTAATCAGTTAGCCCCATGTTGTCCCCATCTCCAACATAAATCGTGGACTCTTGTGTCTCTCTACCAATCAAAACATTATGCATACTCCGAGAGTACTGAATAATCACCATGAGACTGGAGGAGCTTTTTGAAGTAGGCGTTGCTGCTTATATGCGGTTTAGCGCTCTTTATTTTGATTTTGCATAAATGAGAAATACATTCACAAAAGTTGCTTAAAATTCGAATGGACCTTTTAAGTTGGAAAATTACAAACATTTTTTGTCAGAATTTTTTATTTATTAAAATTAACTAAAAAAATAAAATTCCTAATATAGTAATAAAATTACTTGAATATAAATTATCACTTGTAGTTTTAAAAATTACCCTTGTGGTTTTTATTTTTAGGATAAATTACAAATATATCCCTTGAAGTTTATTTAAAATATAAATTATCCATGTAGTTTTGAAAATTATATCTCACTGCTTGAAGTTTTAAATTTTATAATAAATGATCAATTTCATTAATAAATTATCAAGTCAATCAAATTTTTTTAATGATATTAGAAATAATTTTCAATTAATAATTCAAATAATTTTATTATTTATAAAAGAACAGTTAGAAATTTTATTTTTTCAATTAATTCTGACAAATAAAAAGTTTGAAATCCTAATTCTTAGTTGTAGCG